GAGTGGGGTTAGGACCAGGCAGTCTGGCTCCAGAGCTGTGCTCTTAACCATGACACTGCATTGCGCCACAGCACAGCCATGTCAACCTCAGACAGGGGAGTGTCCATGACTCCATCCCCTACACTGATGCCACATCCTTAGTATTTCATGACCCTGCCTCTGCCTCATCTCCCCACTCACTGCTCCTACTCCTGGCTGGACTGGCCTCCAGGCCCTGGAGCAGAGCACTGGGCTTCTGGTCATCCCTTGCTGTCTCCAGGCTCCCTCCGCTCTGATCGTCCTCCTCAGTGCTACAGAAATCTGGTCCGATTGCTCCTCTGACTCAATCCCTAAATGGTCCTCTACCTTCTCCCCTCTTGCCTCTGTTTCCAGTCTTTTCTTTCTCCCTCCACCACATGCATCCAGCATTCCATGAATGTGACAGGTTTTCTCCTGCCTTGAGCCCTTTGCACATGCTGTTCCATCTGCCTGGAATGCCTTTCCTCTCTTCATCCTGGTGACCTGTTGTATCAGGGCTCAGCACAGCACAGCATCCCCTTCTCTGAGCAGCCCTTGCTGACCACCCACCACCCTCTTTCCTTGGCAGAGCAAATCGCCTCCAGATGCAAGCTTGGGAGGCCTGAGCCTATGTGTAAGAAGTCTAGCTCCCCTAAAACTGCCATGCTGAAGAGATCACACGGCAAGACTGCATAGAGATAGCGAGAGGTGTCTGAGGAGCCCCAAATCTTCTTGCCCCCAGCTGTTTGAGTCTTCCCAGCCCAGGAACCAGTCATGTGAGTGAATGACTTCAGATAATTGCAGACCCCAGGCTTCAGGCTGCCCAGGCTGATGCCACGTGGGGCAGGGACATGCTGGTCCTGCCAAACCTTGATCATACTGCAGATTCGTGAGAAAAATAAATACTGTTGTTTTAAACCACTAAATTTTGGGGGTGGTTTGTAATATAGCATTAAATAACCAGAACAAGCATTATTAACACTTTGGTATCTTTTAACATCTATCTCTATTTCTATCTCTATCTCTATTTAGATTTTATCTTATCATACTTTCTCCACTTACCAGCATATAGTGGTCATTTTTTATGTCTAGAACTAAATATCTACATTATTATCTTGAATGGCTGCAGACTATTCCATTGTATGGCTTTACCATATTTTTATAACTATACCCTACTACAGACGTTTAGTTTATTTCAATTTATTGCTACTATAAACAATGTTGTAGGAATAGTCTTGAACCGCATTTAGTGTAACTGCTAGACAATTTCCTCAGGATAATGGGAAATCCTGGGTTAAAAGGTAAAAGCTTCAGTACAGACAGAAGCCCACTCACTGTCCCATGGCTTATCCTACAAGTCTATCTGTGTCTGCACCTCCTTTTCCTCCTGCACCCCTGTTATGGAAGAGGCAAGTCCTCCACTGTTTGAAGGTGAGGTTCTTCCTCTGGATCCCATCTTGCTTCTCCTTAAGACTTGGATTATTTGGTTTTCCCCACTCTCATCTGCAGCATCAATTTCTCCCTCTCTACTGAATTATTCCCATCAGCATGCAACCATGCTCTAGTACCTTTCTGCTATCTTTATCCTTGATCCTATATTACCCTCCACCATTGCTCCACATTCACTGTTAGATTTCTAGAAAGAGTTGTTTTTATGATGGGGAGTAGACAAATCCACAAAAATAATGGGGAGATTTTAAAAACATACTTCTGTCAGTAAGTAAAAGAATAAAATGATAAATAATCAGAAAGGATATAGGTATAGAGAGGATATAGAATATTCGAGCAACCATAGAACACATTCTTTTGAAGTGCATATGAAACATTAATCAAAATGGACCAAAAGTTCATCCATTAAGCAGCAGCCCCCCCAAATTTCAAAGGACTAAAATCAAATAGAGCATGTTGTCTGGCCACAGGGGAGTTAGGCTAAGAATTAGTTTCAAAACATCACTAGAAAATCTCCACTGTTTGGAAGTTAAACAGAACACTTCCCAATAACCCATAGGTCAATCAAGACACCTCAATGAAAATAAGAAGATATTTTAAACCAAATGGTAATAAAACTATGACATATCAAAACTTGTGGGACACAACTAAAGCCATTCTTAGAAAGGAATTTATACTCATAAATACATATATCAAAAAGAATAAAGGTTGAGTATCAATTGTCTAAGTAAAAGCATTGATATAATGTCCAACTCAAGAGGATAAAAAAAGAATTGTTAACTAGAAATTAGAAGGCAAGAAATAATAACAGTAGAAATTTCAGAAATAAAAAAAGTGTACGTGCAATAGAGAAAAATCAACAAAAGCAAAATTGATTCTTTAAAAACACTAATAAGATTGATAAACTCCTAAGAAAACTAATCAAGAAAAAAGAGAAGACATAAATTACCCAATATCAGAGATGAAAGGGGACCATAACTACAGATATCATACACACTAAGAAGATAATAAGAAGATATAATAAACAATTTTAAGCCAGTAAATTTAAAAATTTACATGAAATGAACAAATTCGTATAAATACACATCTCACTAAAACTGACACAAGAAGAAATAGACAATTAGAATAGTGCCATGCAAGTAACTGAATCTGTAATTTAAAACCATTCAACAAAGAAACAACCTTAAAGACCTAGATGGCATCACTGATAAATCATGCTAAACATTTAGGGAAGAGATAAACACCATTATGCACAAATTCTTCTACTAAACTATAAAAAATAGGGGTGGGGTGGGAGTGGAGAGGAGAGATTTCCAACTTGTTTCATGAGGACAGCATAATTTTGATACCAAAATCTGACGAGAATTCTACAAGAAAGGAAAATTACAGGCCAATCTCATAAATGGATGCAAAAATCTTAAATAAAATATTAGCAATTTGAACGCAGTGCTATATAAAGATAACACATCATAAATTGGGCTCAATCCAGGAATGCATGGTAGGTGTAGCACTAAAAATCAACAATATCACTCACCACGTTATCAGAATAAAGGGGAAAAATCGTATTATTAGCCCAGACAATCAGAGGCACCTGTTCCAGGCTTTCAAAGAGGAGCTAGTGGTACAGGGCAGCAAGGGCAGTGGTCAGTCCTTTCTGGTGGCATCAGCCAAAGTGGGAATGGCAACCTCTCACTTTTTTTTTATTCTGGGGATAGTAGTGACATCTATGTCCAATGCCTGTGGTGTGACTGTCACTTGTGGCCTCTTGTTCCTAGTAGTGGTCTAGTTTTCTTTCTCATTGGCTCCAATCAATGACCTGGTTTTGGCCATGATTCCAGCCACCTTTTGTCCCTTCCCATTTTTGGGTCCTGGCTCCCCAACCTGCCCACTGACTCTAAACGTGGCTCGATGGCCTTTCGGTTCTGCTGCATGTGATTAAGAACTGGGCTGATGGAGGAGGACAGAAGCTGGGTCAGTATGGAGTTTTCCTGGTCTGGCTTTTCTGCTACTGCCAGTTGCCTCTGGAAGTTATAAAAATAATACAAAGAAAAATAAGATAAATCCCCATCTGATTTAGAGGGTTCACATGCCTGGCAGTGGGAGGGGCAGGCATGCATGGAAGAGGGAAGATGGAAGACAGAGCGGAATTTGTTCCAGCAGTGAAGGCTACGTGCACACACGAGATGGGAATGGGGTTTTCTGGAGAACAGAGAAAGTTGTGTTTCACGTCCCAGGTAGGACAAAGCAGCCAAGGAGGGCTTCAGAGAACAGGTGATGATAAAGAGCCAAATCTTAGTGCAAGAGCCCAATTTTCCTGGGTGGCTGGAGAGAAGAAGGGTGTTTTAGTTGGGTGGGTAACAAAGAGGTGGAGGCTTGAGAAAATAGTGTTCATGGGGGTGGGAATGTTGGGGATGGTGGAAGTGCCGGGACACAAGATGGGGAGGTGGGAGATGACCCTGGAAAGAGGCCTAGGCCAGGTGATAAAGTACCTTGTTTATTGGTAAGGAGCCTGGACCTCCCCTGTGGCCCAAAAGGAAAGGATTGCTGAATATAAAGCCAATGTCACCAACCAAAAATTCTCAAGGGAGTGTTGGAGTCCAAAAGAGCATCTGATGGGGAGTAAAGTTCCTGCAATTGGCAGATTAAACAAGCACCTTGATTTGAAGTTCAGTTTGGTTCCAACACTCTCTCTCACCCCCATGACTCCTCACAACTTGCTTTTGCTTCTTTCCTCCGGGCTGAGGGAGAGTCTCTTCCATTGCAGGTTTGAGTGCTGTCCTCTCCTCCCTGTCCTGACAGTTGGGACTAGAGCCAAGCCAGAGCTCCAAGTCCAGGCTTGGAGAAGATTGAGAGTCCCCAGACCACTCTGCCAGCTCATTGCCACAGGGATGGATCAGAGGCGAGAGGGAAAGTACTTCAGCTGCTCTTCACAGAGCACTCCCTACCGTGTTAATATTCTAAGGTTAACAGCACCCTTTCCTTGGGGTTTGGGGCACAGGAAGGAGCCTGCCCTGGACTAAGCCCTCGGGGAGCAGGTCCCAGGGGGGCAGTGCAACTCACCGTCATGCCCCCGGAAGGCAACCTGTTCTGAGCCTCAGGTGAGTGAGTGACTCTTCACCTTCTCTGCCCCCGGTTTCCCCAACCTGGAACAGGGGGATTGTGAGTCCTGGTTACCTCTTCACATCAGTTTCCAAAAGTTGGGGAAATCTGAGGCATCACAGACGTACTGCCTCTGCGGTGATATTTACCTCCAAATGCCAATGAGGCAGATGCCAGCCCAAGCGCGCACACAGGTAACTTCACCCTCTTCTCAACGACCTCAGCAGGCACGCCAGGCCTGCGCCACACTGGGGTGCTAAGCCTCCCGCTCGTCCTAACTGGAGACCCAACACCGTCCTTAATTAAGTTCTTTCCTGAAGGTGCCAGGTGCGCCCTTTAGCCGGACAGTGTTAATTCCAGCCTCCGGGGGCAGAGATCCAGCCTCCTTTCCAGGCACGTCTGCTCTTGCGCTCAACCCCTACCTGGAAACCCCCCTCACCATGGCCCCCCTTCCCATGGACGGGGGAGTTGCTTGTTACGCTGCCCTGCCGGGAAGTTCTCGTTCAGCGCCCCACACGGGCGAGCCCCGTAGGTATATAAAGACAGAAGAGAGCGTCCAGGACCAGACGGCGGCGAAGGAGGAGAAAGAGCGGAAGAAAAGTGACCGAGAGAGGCCGCCGAGCATCCTTGCCCCGGCGCAGCGGGAGTCGCCCAGAGAGCAGCCTCCCCGCGGCAGGTAAGGGCGCCCCGGCGCGGAACCTAGCTCTCCCCCCGGGACCCCCTGCCCTGGGGCCTCGGGATGCTCTCGTCCAGCTCCCATAGCGGACTCGAGGCGCCGTTGGCTCGCTTCGGTCCTGAGCTCTTTGAAAACTTTCTGTACTGAGTGCGGCGTGGGAAGCCGCCCGCAGCGGAGCGGCGAGGGCCAGCCTCCGGCCGGTGAGCGAACGGCTGCCACGCTGGAGATGGTGCTTCCCGGAGCTGGCGCTTCCCGGAGCTGGCGCTTCCCGGAGCTGGCGGCCGCGCCTCCTCCGGGGAGTGGGGCTGCTAGAACCCCTGAGACTCCTACCGCCTTCTGGGGAGAGCCCGGTCTTTTGGCTCCTCTTCCTCTCTATTTCCTGGGGAGGTGTCACTTCTTAAAAGACACCATATAACTCTGGCGCAAATTAACGTTGGAAAGGGGGCAGGAGAGAAAAGGCTAAAAGTCACAATAAACTCCCTGCATTCCAGACCTTTTGGGATTCAGACCCCAGAATCCTCGTTTTTCTGCCCACCTTAGAGCACTCGACGTGGCTGCGCCACGGTAGCGACACGGGTCTCCCAGCTGGGGCAAAAAAAGAGGACGCCCAGTCGGGAACTGTCCAAGGTCCTGAAACGCCCTGTCGGTGCCGTCCATAGGACTGCAGAGTGCACTTTCCATCCCGCAGACCCTAGGCCGCAGGGCGGAAGCAGCCGTTTGAGCTGACAGAGGCTCAGGCAAGGGGGGGTCTCCAGGGAAGAAGGGAGAGTCTGCAGGGCATTTGGATCCCCCAAATTCTTCGGTATAAGTGGGAAGGTGGTTGTTCTCAAGGAATGGCTGGAAGGAGCCAAGGAAAGTAAAAGCGTGCATTTGTTTTGTCAACTGTGAAGATATGCACAGATTATGGCTTATTTAAGGAGTTAATATTCCTTTGACACTTTTGTTTTAGGACTTGATGCACGTGTATCATGGTGCAAGGACAAAACCCCGTGCCTCTGCTCCTCTAATCTTTACAGAAGGGCATGGCCAGTGAGCAATGTGAGAGTAACAAACAAAATGTTTTGTTTAGCTCATAGAGAATTCACCTACACATATGAAGTTCTAATAAATGTAGTTGTATTATAAAGTTAATGTCAAGATTAACAAATTACAAATTTCTATTTGTTTTTCTAAGGCTTTCAATTACTGGGTTGTAACACTCTCCTTACCCTCAAAAAGCACAGCTTTTGACATTTCCTGGTTACATTACTGCTTTAAAAAAAGGACACAAGGTAATATCTCTTCATTGTAGAAAAATAGAAAATACACAAAAGCAAAAAGAAAACAAGTTGCTTTCAGGAAACTATCTAACTTTTTAGCCAGAGAATGGAGCTCTGAGAGGGTGGGGAGTGAGAATGTTACCATGTTGTGCAACACAGCCAATGCAGCAGAAGAAGAGGAAACGCTCTCTGGGGCTTTTCAGAAAGCCCTGAACTCATGAGGTAGGTTTTTAGAAAATGATCACTCTGGAATGGCCAATCTTGAGGAGAATTGAAATATAGTTGAGAGAACTGTCAGACCTGTATGATTCTACTTCTTTCTCTACTAATATGTTCTTTTACACTTGCCCACAGTGATATATAACTACCATTTTTCTGCTTCTCTTGTAAATCTGGGCATTTTTCTGTGCTGTGTGGTCTCAGAACTTTAATGTAAATTGCCTTGTCCACCAAGTTCAGGCTTCATACTTGAACTGGAGCATCAAAAGGCTACAACAGGAGCAGCCTGTCCCCCATCATGACTGGACATCACGATTTGACCAGTGCTCTCCCAGTTGCCCCTTCAGCCTGAGATACTGATGGGCCAGCTCACTGGCTGCCAGTGCCATCTAATGGCTGCTCTGAAAATAGGCAGTGCCTGGCAACCATTCAGAAGGGAGCCCTGAGCTGGCCCAGCTTTTGGGGAAAGGAGTGGGGGTGTGGCAGAGAGAAGGAAGTGGCTTCCTGAAGTAGACAATGAGAACCAAGGAGAGCTTTCACTTCTAAAGCCTTCCCTATAAAAAAGATTTGGCCCATGCCTCCACAAATGCGAGATTTCTTTAAGTAAACATTTTAAAATGCAAATGTCCATTAGGAGAGACAATTAGTCACCTACATCTTAATGTAAATTACTTTTATCATCTAATTAGGTTTCTTCCTAACAGCTGGTTGAGAAGATCTTCTAAAATCCAAAATGATTGTGGGGTTGGTGACGAGCTCATGACAGAACTCAGGGTCACTTCAGGGGGCTGACCTGGGTGAGGGGGGACATGGCAGCATGAGAGCTAGAGGGCTGGGGAAAGGGTTGGGCACAGGGGGCAAAGGGCAGCATTGGCTCCACTCTTTACCGCATCTTGACCTCTTGGCCTCAGCATCTGCCCAGAGGTACTTCCTGACTTCTCCACAAGGGGAAGTAGTTCCCTTCTGCTCTGTCTGTCCATCTCCTTCCCTTCTACACCTACAGCATCTTCAAGTCCAGCTATTTAGGACTACATTTGAGAGACTCAGAGAACAAGAGGTCTGACGTAATATGTTCAGAAGATGAGCCAGTTTTAAAAGAATGGGGGTGTGCTTTACAAGTAAATCTCTCCAAAGTTGCAGGGGTGTGGGAGATAGTGATCATTTGAGGGGTTTGTGTACAGGACATCAAATTGGGTTGGCTGTGCTTTTGGCTAAGTTGGCCAGAGGTTTTATTTGTGCTTATGCAAACCTACTATTCATAGGAAATAAGAGTTTCTGAGGAATGATAGGATCCTGGTGGAGGAGGAGGGAAAAGACCATCTTGAGCAGGAGCTTCAGAATCCTTTGTCTTTCCCAAGTTACTCCTTGGTTCTGGAGTGTTGGAACTATAGCTTCATGTAGGTGGTGAAATAGGAAATCTCCGTGCTAGTAAAAGGAGAAATTAGCCTCACCTTGTCATGAACACCCAAGTTATTGTCTCTCTCTGGGCCTCAGTTTCCCCATCTCTTAAACAATGGGCTGGACCAAATGACCCCCAAAATAGCTTCCAGCCCTATCTCCTTTCAGATCTGATTTTTAACAGGAGATAAAGGGGAAATTCCACATAGTTCACCCAGGTCCCACTCCCCTCCGCTCTACCACAACTCACACCACCACTCTGCACACCAACCTTCTCCTTGAACTGCTCCTGTCCTCAAAAAGCCTTGAGCTCCACAAATGAGTGTGTTGTTAATGTTGGCTCACAGTCCTTCCTGGTGAGTGACCAACATTGTTCTGCTCCTTGCAGGGGTCCCACCAATCTTGTTTGCCTCCGCAGAGCCTCAGCCTGCCTGCAAGATGCCGAGACAACGCGGCAGCCGCTCGGGGGCCCTGCTGCTGGCCCTGCTGCTTCAGGCCTCCGTGGAAGTGCGTGGCTGGTGCCTGGAGACCAGCCAGTGTCAGGACCTCACCACGGAAAGTAACCTGCTGGTATGTGGGCCATGGCTGCCATCTTGTTTGGGCATCAGGTGGGACTGGGGCTGGGGTTGGGACAGCACAAAAGAAAGGGTTTGGATTCATTCCCAGAGATACTCAACCCAGGGCAGGAACAGATCTCTAGGGTGAAGTCAGAATTGGGTCAAGGAGGGGAGGAAGCAGCTTCAGGAAGCAGGACCAGATGGGTCTGGTCCACAATTTCGGCTTGATTATCTTTGCTTCCTGCCCTGTCTCCTTGTATGGGGACACTACTCCATTTAAGCTATTTAGAGATAGTGCCATAAAAATAATAATAACAATACTAATAACAGTAATAACAATAATTGCTCCCTCAATTGATCCTACATTTTCAATCTTTTAGCCTCCAAATTATTCGTTTTTAAATAACCTCATATCACTTGCCATCTGCATTCCACTTTTCTTCCCTTTTTATCTACTACCAGTTACAACGCCAGCGAGGTAGTACCACAAATCATCTCTAAAGGGAGAAGGAAAAACCCAGGTGCCATTTTCCTCTAACTGGTGCCCAATGGCTCATGCTTCTTCTGGAGGACTGACCTCCTGCAGCCTTTCCAGAAGCATGTAAAGGCCCGTTGTGCCAGGTTGGAACTCCCGCCAGGTTACCACAGGGGGTGTGTGTGTGTGTGTGTGTGTGTGTGTGTGTGTATTGGGAGGCATAAATGAGAAATGATACCAAGCAAGGACTAAAAGACACACTGCTGGTGTTGGTGAGCGCGTTCCACCCTGCTGCCAGCACCTGCGTAGTGAGGATGGAACGCACATCACTACCTTCTGTGTTTTGTCAATGGAGAAGCTGAGTTAAGGTGAAGAGAGACTTTCTCAAAAACACAGAGCAGTTTGCATGTGGAATATAAAATAGAAACAATGATCTCAGGGAATTCTGTGAGTTCTAGTTCAGAGAGATGCAAGAGGCTCTTGACTGGAGACACCCACTGCACAGCCTCTCCTGAGAGCTCACCAGGGAAAGAGCACAGCCATCATCAGAGCCCATGGGTTCTAGTCTCAGTCCTGTGAGCTACGGAACCTTGCCAAGGTCCTTTCACCTCTCTGAGCTCTCCTGTGTCCAGGGGAGAGGAGTATGAAATACTTCTTATTTTCCACTGTTAATATTCTGCAGTGTTAGAATTCTAAGTTCCCAGAGTATGAAATTCCCAACTCAAGAGTGGGTGGGATGCTTCTGTTTCCTCCTTTGCAGTCTTGAGTAACTGAAAACTCAAGGCTGCAGCGTATAGGTCATTTTCCTAAGCAAATGTTTACCACAGCTGAGTTGTCTAGTTACAGAGAGCAGAGACACGCGCTCCATGACCCGTGCAATGGAAATTATCCTGGCTTTCTATCCCTCCCTCCAGTCAGAATGAGATGACAGGGAAGCGAAACCCCCTCCCAAAGCTCACTGATTGGGGAAAGTACAGGATCAGCTCAGAAGTCTTGAAAGAACCAGAGAAAGTGCCAGATGGACATGGGAAAGTTTTGAAGCATGGTACAAGGAGATAGCTGGGGTAGGGCATGGGGTAGGTTTGCAGATCGCTGGGGTAGGGTTGAGGCATTATTGAAAATACAGGCCCTAGAAGCCAGACTTGTACTTCTCCCACCTGGGGAGATTCTACCCCAAATTTCAGCCCAATGTCCCTCCCAGACTCAAACTGAACCAAATATATTTATTCAATATTCATTAAGTCCCAACGACTAACACCCACCCGCCATTTATTAATTCCTATATATCAGACGTATAACGGGAAGACGGTGACCCTGCTCGCAAAAGCTATGGGACAAGTAAACCAAGGAGTGGCATGGGGTTTTTGCTGCAGCTGCCAGGCAGAAGTGTCAAGGGGTACAGGGACAAAGCAGGCGATGCCCAAGCTGCGTCTCAGGTGTCCGTGGGGGACAAGAGGACGAGGAGGGCCGGCGTCCCCGGGAGCGAGGGCCGCACGTGGTGACGGTCGCGGGGCACTGGAGGCGCGGAGGGCGCAGGCGCAGCGCGGAGGGCGCGCTGGGGGGCTGCGGGCGCGCGGCCCTCACTCGCCCGGCTCTCCCGCAGGCGTGCATCCGGGCCTGCAGGCCCGACCCCTCGGCCGAGACGCCCGTGTTCCCCGGCAACGGCGACGAGCAGTCGCTGACCGAGAACCCCCGGAAGTACGTCATGGGCCACTTCCGCTGGGACCGCTTCGGCCGCCGGAACAGCAGCGGCGGCGGCGGCGCGGGCCAGAAGCGCGAGGAGGAGGCGGTCGTGCTGGTGGGCCGCCCCGCGCCCCGCGGCGATGGCGGCGAGCCGGGCCCGCGCGAGGGCAAGCGCTCCTACTCCATGGAGCACTTCCGCTGGGGCAAGCCGGTGGGCAAAAAGCGGCGCCCGGTGAAGGTGTACCCCAACGGCGCCGAGGACGAGTCGGCCGAGGCCTTCCCCTTGGAGTTCAAGCGGGAGCTGGCCGGGGAGCGGCCCGAGCCCGCGGCGGCCCCGGCCGGCCTGGAGTACAGCCTGGTAGCGGAGGCCGAGGCGGCCGAGAAGAAGGACGAGGGGCCCTATAAGATGGAGCATTTCCGCTGGGGCAGCCCGCCCAAGGACAAGCGCTACGGCGGCTTCATGAGCTCCGAGAAGAGCCAGACGCCCCTGGTGACGCTGTTCAAAAACGCCATCAAGAACGCCCACAAGAAGGGCCAGTGAGGGCGCAGCGGGCGAGGGGCTTCTCTCCCCGGGGAGTCGGCCCTACGCCCCGCTCCTCGCCTGCCTCCTGCCGCCTCGCAGCCTGGGTGTGCTGTTCGCTCGGGCCGTGATAGCAGCGGATGCTCGGCCTCTTCCCGCCGTGTGTAGTTAAGAAATAAAACCTTTCCAGTTTCACATCTGACTCTGACTTTGAATGTCGACTGGGTGCATAAAGTAAAAATACATATCCATCAGATAAAGAGCAAAAGATATCGGAGGAGAGACATAATGGTTTCCGTGTGACCGAGTGGTAGTCTGTTACACAGGACATAGTAGGAATGGAAAGAATGTATTCTCCCCCATAGATGGGTCTTCAAGGGGCCAAATAGTTTGGGTGATGGCTCAGGGTGGCTACATTCCCCACCTTCCACTGGCTGGGGAGAGACTGCTCAGCTAGCAGATGCGTCAAAAGGCAGGATTCCTACAGGAGTGACCCTGGCTTCTCTGTCCAACTCCCAAGAGCCAGCCCGACACTGATGAAGCCCACCCGCAGCTGGGAGGGCTCTCTGGGCTGTGAGGTGGGAAGCTGTGGTAATGCCTCCCTGTAGCCGTAGCTATCTGTGACCTTAGGCAAGCCTCTGAATGAAGTCCAAGATTCAGTTCTCTCATCCACCCCACATTAGCCCTAGTGTGAGGGCTATTGTGAGGATTAATGAGAAAATGGGTGTGATCTTTTTATGACTGAGAAGCTAAGTGTGCGAGCTGAGGGTTGGTATTAGTTCAGATTTGACTGCACTCCCAGGCTACTCACAAATATTTTCAAACACATGGTCTCGCCCACACATACACAGCCATGGAGACACATCTGTATAAATACAACACAATATACACAGATGCTTCTTCCAGTCCCTGGGGCTCGAGCCTTGAGGTCCTCTATTCGCCCCCCCCCCCCCGCCCCCCCCAGCCCACTGGGCTCTCTCTCAAACTCTCTCCTCCCCATGTTGCCCAGCCTCAGCCCTTCTTCAGCCTTAGTGCTCTGCGCTCAGGCCTTGACTATCAGAACAGCTTCTTAACCGACTGGTCTCCTTGTCTCCAGTCGCTCCCCTCCCCAACCCGTTGTACACAAATTCCTCATATGAATATATACAAAATCTTGCTCTCCCCACATTCCCTGGCTCAAGAACCAAAGAAGTTACCCTACCCCAATTTTCCATCAATTCCAAACTATGTGGCATGGCATGCAGGGCCCTTATCAATGAAGTTCACTTTTCTTACCAAACCCATGTCCCATGTTTCTACCACTGGTCTTCTCACTTTTGTCTCATCCTCCTTCACCTCTGTCTGGAATTCCCCACCTTCCCCCACCATTGTCAATGTCACTGTTTTTTCAACATGAGCCCAGGCTCCAGTCCACTTCCACTGGGAAATCGGTGATCTCTTCCAGCTGAGCCTGCTCATAGTCAGTGTTTCTGTGGGCAGCCCCCCAAGTCCCCTGCTGGAAGACACACAGTTTCTTGCTGCATGTATGTCTTGTGCTCTCCTCTCTGGGAAACTCTAAGCTCCACAAGGGCAGAGGCCAGGGGCTGTGTTTCTTTTATACGTCCCTATGGTGTTTTCACAATGCTGGGGTCATGGGTTGGCAGCCACACACGTTGATAATTCAAAAGAGACTCATAGATACTTATATACACAGAGATGCACACGTACATGTCAACTGCATTAGACACACCAGTGGACGGTATAGATCAAAGCCAGCTGGGAAACATCTGTGTATGGCCCTTACATATATACCCCCATATCTTGATGCTCTAGAAGTTCAAAATTAAAGAAAACTGGAGTGCACCCTGGGAAGTCCTGATGTAAGGGGAATCAGAAAGCCAGATTCCTAAGATAAAGTCTCCCCCAATGTGGGTGACATGAAATGGGGCTAGATTCCAGTCACTTTAGTGAAGAAATGGCCCAGGCCTTCCCGTCAAAGGATGCTCCCATGCTGGGAATCCTGGGCCTCAAGTTTACATCTTGGTAGCATCCCTTCCCTACCCTCCTTCCTTTTGAGGCAAGTAAAGTGATGGCAGGTGGGGGTGGCTAAATGTCAGCAGTAAATGTTGGTATTTTCAGATCCTGTTTGCATCTCAAAAAACCATTTACTTTAAAGAAATAAAATAGAGAACCATGTGGTGACAACATTAACATTTATTTGAAAAGGGCATCATGAAGGCTCATTGGGAAATCACGAGTGATCTTGCTAAGAGTCCGTCTTCCTACACTCTCCCCGCTCCTATTTCCCCTTCCTTAAAATAAAACTAATTTGGTTCAATGAGTTTCAAACACAGAAAACAGCCACAGGCACTAGTTCTGCACTCCCATATAAATACATCAGCTATTATATACACACATTGTCAACTATGAACTATATTACACACACATGCACGCACATGGGCACACACACTCTCAGCCAGGTCATGAAGGTCTAAGTGGACACAGACACGTTACAGTGTATGGGCTGCAGCATTTGTGGATTTACAGCTCTGCACTCCACAGGCCGGAATCAACAGTCATGGAGGAAGAGCTTAAAGGGGAAGGTGACAGGCTGAGGCCCCCAGGTCCCCTGAAGGAGAAAAGACCTGGTAACCTGGCTGGAGCTAAAAGAGAGCACACAGAACTGCCTTCTGGCCCCCACAGGCCACAGAGCCCCTCCCACAGCCCCCGTGTCTTCTTCCCACTTCCCCAGCCGGCCAGGCCTACTGTGACCATCCTTCTGCAGTCTTCAGACCTAGGCCAGACTTGGGATAAGGGGTCACTTTAACCAGAAGATTTCTAGGGTTAACAGGGTGAAGAAACAACACACTGCCCTAAACTGTCTCCCCAGATGTAAGGAGGATGGCTTGTTTCAGCGGGGTCAATGGGCCAGGGGAAGCGGCGAGGCCTGCTCCGATGAGCCCATCTCCCTGTCTACCTTCAAACTTAACATTCAGCCTAACAGCTCAGGTCTGGTCCTTTCCCACAGGCCCTCAGCTGGCCAGCTGCCATTTTATGGTCATGAAGAGGAGTTGGGAGAAACAGCCTCACTTCTCAGCGATACTCTCTGTACCCAGGTCAGAAGGCCTGGACAATGGCAGAGCAAGTGGAAGGTATTCTGACCCAGGGGTCCCCAAACAAGCCCAGAGGTCTGGCCTTTGAGCCATTTAAAGTTACCCTAAGGCTGTTCTGATTCTTAGGCCAGCTGAAACATGTCCCCTGGGACCCAGAACACCCAAGCAAAGGGCTGCACATATATGACCCTCGAGCTTCTTCAAGCACTTTAGACAGTCCCAGGCTCATCCATTTATATTTGGGTATGAGATGGAGGGGGACAGAGGAGAGTATCTGAGGGCTTTTCTAGTTCTTCTTCTGATCTGCTCAGGCTCCTTCTCTGGTGAGGAGGCATTTAGGAGTCAAGAAACCACTGATTTCTACTGTTCAGAGAGAGGAAATGGGAAGAGACACAGGGCACCGGGGACCCCACTGCAAGGAAAGCAGAAGGAGCCTCCAGGATTGCACTGGTGCTTTCTGCTGATCTGCCTCTTACACGCTTACGTGACTCAACCAAATTAACGGAGCTTCCAAATCTCAAATACATTCACTTGAGATTCAATGTGCATACAGAACATTAAGTTCTGTCAGCAGAGTGCTAACCAACCCTACCCCTTGCCCACGAAGCAAGAGTCCTCAGTGGCTTCGGGGAGCAGCTGGTCTGGATGGGCTTGCTGGCTCCTCTCGGCTCAAAATCACAACAGAGAAGGGTAGCAAACAGGGTCGGTCACATCACACAGTTGCTGCCAGACTCCAGATGGTGTGGAAGGCAGGTAGCAGTGATGCCAGGCCAGGGCCTGGGCACCCACCAAACTCTGATGTGCTTCCCTCCCAGAACTTGTGGGGGGCGAAGGAGACTGCCTAACCTACCACTTCAATATCTGTTTGAGTTAACACGCACCTTAAACTTTCTGGTTCTGAGGCACATGTGGCCAGAATCCAGGTTCTACTCCATGTCAGCAGGCAACCTAATATGCTACCGAGTGTAAGCTGAAATTGAAACTGAGAAGGGGGCTCTCAAAAAATGGCCCGTTCTCCAAAAGAAGCACATCTTTGCTGAGCAGCGGTGACGTAAAGAAAAAGCTGCTTTGGGCGGATGCAGAGGAGCCAGCAGTGGAATCCCGCATCTCTTTCTTCACTCTGTGCCAAGGGCGGGGCTGAGGGAGAGACATCCGAGTGGACCTGCAGGCCTCTGGTTCTATTGCTGGCTCTAGAAAGAGGCTCCAGCGCCATGACTCCCAAGTCCCAGGACCAGGGCCCCAAGGGCAGTGGTCAGGGTGCATTCGCTATGGGGTGGACCCTAAAGTCAAGCAGGCACAAGAAAGGAACAGGGTTTCTCATCAAAGCCAGGCAAGGATAAAGACGGAAAGATCCAGTGAGGAAAGATGTGTTTGTGGCTCGAGATTTAGATTTTCTGTAAAGTTTCTTCCAGAGGTTATTTGCTTTCAAGGTTGTTTCAAATTATTTTAAAATTGGTTTCTTGGGCCGGCCCCGTGGCTTCGCGGTTAAGTGCGCGCACTCCGCTGCTGGCGGCCCGGGTTCGGATCCCGGGTGCGCACCGACGCACGGCTTCTACGGCCATGCTGAGGCCACGTCCCACATACAGCGACTGCAAGGATGTGCAGCTATGACATACAACTATCTACTGGGGCTTTGGGGGAAAAAATAAATAAAAATAAAATTATAAAAAATAAATAAATAAAATAAAATTGGTTTCTTAATAAAGAGGTATTAAGGTAAAAAGAAATCTAAGTTCATGCTTGTAAAGTTGGGTTGAGCATTAGCCAAAAGCCAAAGAGCAGAGCCAAAGCTGTCGGGGGCAGGCCGGGGGACGGGGGGCAGGAGCCGGGCTCCCTGGGCCCTGTAATCACGCAGGCCATCAGGAAGATGCAGGCCCACAGCACAGAGGCAGCGACCAAGGCTGGAAACTATAGGAACGACGGTCAGATAGCCCCCTATCCAATAAATTTCTTGCACATGTAATGGGAAAATGTGTGTTAAGGTTCTCCCAGTTTAGGAAAATACACCTATCTGTTCTAATAACCAGGCTCC